TCATCTGATATTGTTTGTACAACTGTTAGTCAACTGTAAACTGTGATAGGCAGGAAGGTAGATAACAGTTGGACAGTTTGTGATAGCTTGCAGTTTGTGTAATTCATCTGATATTGTTTGTACAACTGTTAGTCAACTGTAAACTGTGATAGGCAGGAAGGTAGATAACAGTTGGACAGTTTGTGATAGCTTGCAGTTTGTGTAATTCATCTGATATTGTTTGTACAACTGTTAGTCAACTGTAAACTGTGATAGGCAGGAAGGTAGATAACAGTTAGACAGTTTGTGATAGCTTGCAGTTTGTGTAATTCATCTGATATTGTTTGTACAACTGTTAGTCAACTGTAAACTGTGATAGTCAGGAAGGTAGATAACAGTTGGACAGTTTGTGATAGCTTGCAGTTTGTGTAATTCATCTGATATTGTTTGTACAACTGTTAGTCAACTGTAAACTGTGATAGTCAGGAAGGTAGATAACATTTGGACAGTTTGTGATAGCTTGCAGTTTGTGTAATTCATCTGATATTGTTTGTACAACTGTTAGTCAACTGTAAACTGTGATAGTCAGGAAGGTAGAAAACAGTTGGACAGTTTGTGATAGCTTGCAGTTTGTGTAATTCATCTGATATTGTTTGTACAACTGTTAGTCAACTGTAAACTGTGATAGTCAGGAAGGTAGAAAACAGTTGGACAGATTGTGATAGCTTGCAGTTTGTGTAATTCATCTGATATTGTTTGTACAACTGTTAGTCAACTGTAAACTGTGATAGTCAGGAAGGTAGAAAACAGTTCGACAGTTTGTGATAGCTTGCAGTTTGTGTAATTCATCTGATATTGTTTGTACAACTGTTAGTCAACTGTAAACTGTGATAGTCAGGAAGGTAGAAAACAGTTGGACAGTTTGTGATAGCTTGCAGTTTGTGTAATTCATCCGATATTGTTTGTACAACTGTTAGTCAACTGTAAACTGTGATAGTCAGGAAGGTAGATAACAGTTGGACAGTTTGTGATAGCTTGCAGTTTGTGTAATTCATCTGATATTGTTTGTACAACTGTTAGTCAATTGTAAACTGTGATAGACAGGAAGGTAGATAACAGTTAGACAGTTTGTGATAGCTTGCAGTTTGTGTAATTCATCTGATATTGTTTGTACAACTGTTAGTCAACTGTAAACTGTGATAGTCAGGAAGGTAGATAACAGTTGGACAGTTTGTGATAGCTTGCAGTTTGTGTAATTCATCTGATATTGTTTGTACAACTGTTAGTCAATTGTAAACTGTTATAGTCAGGAAGGTAGATAACAGTTGGACAGTTTGTGATAGCTTGCAGTTTGTGTAATTCATCTGATATTGTTTGTACAACTGTTTTACGTAAGTTTGATGATTGAGTAAACAACAATACTTTCCTTGACCAATCTTAATTGAGGTGCTTAATGTGTTTCATTCATCTTTTATTTATATTTAGTTTTCACTTTGCTCAAACTCATGCATAACTGTTGAGCTGAGCCCACACGATCCATAAACATTTAAAACGGTAAATGTCTGGAACATGACGTCAATGGTATTTTATTTTATTATTTATAGAAGTAGGTTGGAATTAGAAAATGTCTTAACCCATAACAAGAAATTAATGAAAAAAACCTATATTAATTTGCTACCATAATAAGAAATTAGACGTTCTCTTCTAAGCAACAATGAACATAAAACCCAGGTGGAAGTTTTAAGTTTAAAACAATCAACTACAACAAAAATATATTTAAGTTGTTTAAATATTAAAGTTCTTTTAAAGGAGTAATTTTAAGTATTTTATTTCATTACTCGTTTCAAGAACGAAATATTTTAATGCATTTTTGGTTTCCACTATTTACAGTGAGTGGAATGGCTTGACACGTTGGTTTTGATTTAATGTAGTGTGAAATTTCTTAAACACATAATTACTCAGTCCACACTATACAGTATACATCTGTCATATACATGTTTTGGGTTATCGTACTTAAACCTACATTGTTCAATTAATTGTAATATTGTTTGGGAAGGAATTATACATGATTTTAAATTCAACTGTATTTTGAATAAACAAAATAATTTTCTAACCTATACAAACACATTCTTTTAGTCATATTACCAGTAACTTTGTCTGTACCAATTTTTTCCACCATAGTCTCAGTGATTTAAAACTATATAAAAATGCAGAAGATTTTTTGTAAAGAACGTTAGGGTTTCGACAAATATTCTTAGATAACACGTTTTTGGATGTACATTGATTGACTATTTGTAAAAGATACTCTTGATAGATTTTTTTTAAATATTTTTTATATAATTATACTATGTTAAAAACTTGTAAAACTACACAAATAAATCACTAAACATTTTATGTAAACTCTACTTCATTGTCAAGTTGTGTTTCAGTTTACCTAAAATCCCAGGAATAATTAAACTCAAAGCATCAATGCATAGTTTATAACATTAATTATGAATGCCCGAGCTATATTGGTTCTGTGTACAGTTTAGTTGCCGTGTTTATGGCAAATAAATGACATTTTGTCGTTTTAATAAATGTAATATCTAATTAAAATAACAAATATTTGTGAAACAGTAATACAATAAATATGTTTGGCTAGAAAGAAACTAGTTCAAAGAATTAACATAGAATTGTTTATGACAATAGTCCTCTTGCAATCTATTTAATACTGGATTTTGTAATTGAGTAAATGATCGAGTGAAATTCCTCATGTCTGATTAAAACACTTCATTACTCCTAAGTCCTACAAGCAATTGATACGAGTAACTGTTCCAATTTAAGTTCCAGTAATGATGGTTTTGTATTCCAAATAGTTCTATATATATTCGAATCAAACGTTAGGAACATTGCTTTGTAAATTAATTAATTGGACTATATTCTTCCCTGTATCTATTATTGTATCTTGAATCCCCGTATTCTCATTGCATTCCTCATTAGATATCTTAAATTTTGCAGTAGCTTCGCTACTGTAACATGCTATACTCTGCTTTATTCTAGCTTTTATAGTAAAGCTAACAAAGGGGTCCATGCCAAACTTCTGATGTTTGTTTTTGAACTTGCCACAGAAAAAAAAACTGATTTATAAAACTGACCGGACCAGCTGTTCATTGTACGGCACAACACATTGTAGTTCATTATAGGACAAAGGTCGTGTAAACAGTGCACCAAACACTACAGGATTGAACTCTGAACGCTTTGTCTGATTCGGACTGATTGGTAAGTTTATTGTTAGTTCATGTTTGCAGAGCGAATTCTGTTGAAACACTACGTTAATTTGCCCTGTAAGTGAAGTGTCGGGCAATCTACGACTAACTAGGAGTAAATAATGTACGGTGATTCATTGAAAAGACTTCAATTCCCTGGTTTTGTGTGTAGAATTTGTAATACAAGAATAAAATCACATTTTAAATTGTGCAAATATGAAATAACTTTATGTTGTTCTTGAGCGAAATTGAAGGCTAAAACGAATGCCACTTCTATATTAAATCCATCAACAGTAATTGTATAAAATATTTTGGTATTTATTACCTTTTAGTTTCATTAGGTGAGCATTTTTCCTATTTATCTACATATTTAAGGTGAAATTATGATTGTTGAATTATTGCACACCACAAAAAGAAATAGTCAGTGTAATGATTCATGTAAAATGGCTATGCCTAGTAAATTTAATATAATTAGATTAGCGTTTAAAACAAATTTTTACATGGAGCCATTCACCGCCAACGAAATGACACAATGCTTATATCCAGCCATAAAACTGGCGATTTTGAAACAGCGACATTTGTCATGTGAAAACTGAAAGTGGACTATAATTTTATGTGTGATTTTATGCACTAAATATTGCATGGTCTTACTAACGTTGTGTAGTGAAACCATGTGCAATCAATTGCAAATCAATTTTAACATGAACTTCCCCAAAATGTCATGTGGGTTAGATACCCTATGCTCCCTTCCATGAGTTAGCCTATTTGAAATTCTGTGAAGTGAGTCATATGAAATTACAAAGAGGTCAAATCAACACATACTTCTATCAGAAAAATGATTTTGTTCCCTTAAAACACCATAATCTAACGGGACTTTTAAAATTATCAAAGCAATGACATACTTTTTTGAAATAATGCTGTCTGTATAATAGATGTTTTTGTCAGAGGAAATATGATTTTAAGAGCTCAATACTGAGGTTTATAAATCACTCTCAATCAAATAAAAGTTTAATAAATTATTATTGTACATAGTATTTACAAATAAATCAACCATATATTTTTTATATATATTTTAACATTAAACACCCATTTTTCTATTTACATAGCTTTGCAAATGACAAACAATAAAATATAAATATACATTTCATTTTATACATTTTAATTGGAATATAGTATACATCTGTTAATACAGTTTTGGTATTACCTGTCACTATAAAATCTTACATTACACAAAAAAAAACCTGGCAGAAAACTTCGTATAATTACATTTGTGGGTTTAATGTTGTTTAGTGGTTGAAATATGCACTTATTATGAATTCATGATTTGTTGTTTTTTCCCTTTTATTCCATACAAAATTGTTTTGTTAAAAAGTGTTAATATTTTAAAATTATTTCAAGATTTTTCCAACATTGTAAACCAACAACATTGGCAACATTGGTAGGGTGTAGCTTACAGGGTGGAATAAATTGTACCTCACAGTTTTTTTTTTTATCTTAGACCTCTACACGTCACTCATTATATTTAAAAATATTTTACATAATTGCATCTCATCAATGGTTTCCATTCTAATTGAATTGACATATTGTTTTACTGCAGTTTATATATTTCATTTAATACAAATATTTTAAATCATTATTCCTTTTTACTTTCTGGCACAATCAATTATTTAACAATAAAGCCTTTTTTACTGTAATTTTAGTGTTTGTATTTCTAAATTATTAAGTTTAATTTTTTAACTCAAAAAAAGTTACATATTTTAATATTATACATGATTATTTACATAACACAGCTTTTAAATAGATCAACAGTTATCTTATACATGAAAACTTAGGCAATGTTACAAAGTTAAAATACGTGTTATATAAATTGTAAAAAGAGGTGAAAAATCGCCAGACTCAGCGTAAAGCCTCTTCGATGTACGGAAGCTGATGGGGATGACAGGTGTTCTACGTTGTTTTCTGCAACAAGAGGTTTTATATTTACATACGTTCTCTGTCCGATAGAAATGTAAAGAATTTGAACATCATATAAACTGTTTTTACTTGCTGGCCCTGTACGAATGTTTTTTATTATATAAGTACTATATAGCCTACATAACATTGTATCATTGTTTTACTATGGTTTGAACTGTTTCAGCTCAAAATAATATAAATTATTCTAATTTTTGTACAGCTAAAATCTAAGTTAATTCAGTATTTGTTATCTTGGCTAAATTGCAATGTCATATATTTTTATCGCACTTATTTTGTATAAGTTTTTTTTTTTTTTTTTTTTTTTTTGAAGAAACTTAGGAAATATTGTAATAACATCACTACGACCATTCAGGTACATTGGAGGTATTGTCGCGTTTTACTTCCAGTTTGATAGTTTTGAATGGGCAATTTAAATATATCATACTTTTGACCATCAATTATTAAATATGTATGAGAAGAAAATACCTATTACAAAAACAAATCAACGAAAACGATGCTTTTAGAAGATTTGTAACTCTCTAATACAAACTCTTGTTTCCAGGACCTTAAATTAAAAGCCAAACCATAAAGAAGGATGTGTCCTCCTTCGAAGCATAACAAATTACTAACTTTCACCATCAATGTCTGACCAGGAAAGTGCCATTATGATTCAGATATGTACCACCCATCGTAGGTTCTTCTTTTTCCATTTTGATAAAGATCCTTATAGCCTTGGACGCTAAGTTGTAGCCCAAAACCGTTTTACGCTTCACCTCAGGATTTTCTCTAATGGTCGTGGCATTTTTCATGGACAAACGTCATTGGTGATTCGAGAGAAAAAATCAAGACCCTAGGGACCAATGCCCGCACTCTACAGCTAAACCAGCCCGCTCTCACCCACCAAAGGTACGAGATATAAGTAAGCTTGTCAAATTACCAAAGAGGTCGTGAGTGTCCCCCCTTGTATAGAACTGGAATGGCTCGGACATATCACTCCAACCGTAGCGATTGCGAACCTGGGTCTGACCCTGGTAGACCGAGGACGGCTGTAGGTCGCCGAGCAGGAGACTGAGGGTGGAGGACGACGGAGGACGAAACCTAGTCTCCAGCCAGGGTCCAACCTGCTGATGGGAGTCGTTGATCTGTGGGAGTTAACAATAGGTATTAGTAATATGCTGCTGAGGAGAGATGTTATGTAGGAGATTAGCAGATGATTAGTAACAAAATTATAAATTGGAGATTAACATGGAGAGTTACAAGGGATATGTTTATTGTAGTTTCTAAAAGAAATACTATAAATTCGTGCCAAGGTTGAGTTGAAAACAGGTAAAAAAAGATACATCAGTAACAGATGAAAAACCAATTAGTATTTTGATTATTTAAGTGATAATTGAAGAAATTAGCAGATTTACATAGAAAAAATTTAAAATTTTTTTAACTGTGTTTGTGGACATTTTGATATCCATCTAGATAGCTATTTTAATTATTTGATTATCAAATTTGATAGGTTGATTAAGTTTTAAATGACATTGCTTTTCAAACCATCTATTTATCATTGAGCATAAGTTCGATGAATGTATTTAAAGAATATATTTGTCTTTATTAAAATTTATGTTTCATAATGTTTGTCTTAAATTTGTAAACCATACTTTTATCTTTTTATTAATGTAGAATTTAGGAATAGTGACTGGATCCCTAAGGTAATTATGGGTTGGTTTAAAAGGAGTATGAACAAATTTAAATGGATTTACAGTGGTGATAAAATCGGTACACACATTCATTCAAATAAAGGAATTGATACATTCTTGTTTACAGTAACCACATCAAACATGGTGGTGAGAGTAGAAACATGACTGTGTCTGTTATCGCAGGTCATTGTCAAAACCTCTTGATCAATCCGTGATCAATGAATGGAATCAGCCTAATGGAAATGCACCATAATCCGGCTACTAACAGCAACTGGACGTTCGAGGATTATTTATCCATTACCCACTCACTTCATCAGCTTTGGAGGTTTTGTTTCTACTCTGTCCAATCTCCTTGGATAAATCCTTGTAGGTAAAGCTATGTTAATGTAACGAGTATTGAACGAACTTATAACAAATAATGTGCGAAATCGTGTAAAACGGCGTAGGTTAACATTATCTTCACGATACTGCTTAAGAAAAAGTAATAAGCGATTGTAAAAATGTCTTTTTTGGACGATTACGACTCGACAAAGCATAATCTAAAGGATTTACTGAATACAAAGAATACATTAAATTAAAGTATGCTTCACATCATGATTTGAAGGTTTAATAAAATCTTAATACCAAAAGTGTCTCTTACTAAAATCTATTACAGCTCCAATCTTAATTTAGTACCATTATTTTCCTGTAAAGAACTCTGCACTCCTCGAGCGGTGAGGCACTGTCCACTCTCCAAACAAAGTTGTAACTGTGAGATGAAGAGCTGTATGGTGAGCTGACGACCCTCAGTTTGCCCGGCTTACCTGCAAGTAAAACGATCACTCAGGAGGCAGCACTACTTCCAGCTGTTGTGGTATGACATGCTATTTCATGAGTATGCATGGATCAAGGTTAAAAAATATCAAGGTTAAGAAATTCAAAACTATTTCGTGGCTATTACACGATAAAGTGTTCACACATAGGTTCTTGTCTAAGTTGCCGATATTACAGTCTTCTTAAAAGGCGGATCTGCAAATGAGAATTTGAGAAATTTATCGAGTCGTGGCTCTATTGCATAGCGTAAGCTCTCTCTACAACCAATATACTGGCATTGCTTCAATAATTAATGGCCGAGTGCATGATTGCTTGTAAATATTAAACAAGATAGTGCAACTCTTACACCATAGAAGACTTACCGGAAAGCTGGATAGTGTGTTTTGAGCGACCAAGTGGGTTCTCTGCAACACAGCTGAAGTTTCCAAAGTCTTGTCTCAGCACTGGCGCTAGTGATAGAGAGTGTCTGTTGTTTACTGTATCTGTAGAGTACCTCTTCGTGGCCACGACTAGAGCACCCTCGTGGTACCACAGTAACTGACAAACATTTACGTCTTACATTTACACCATAGCAAGCTAATATTTATTCCAGAACAGTTTTACACATTACTTTTGGCTGGACCTAAAATATCACGGAATTTTTAAAATACATCGGTGATTTGCTGGATTTGGACCCCTTGTCTCACTTGTAGAACACCCAATAGTGGTGGCTGTGAATAGTTTTTATAGCGTTCTTTTTTTAACTTAGGAAACAAACTCTATATCTGGACTCCTGCAAAAAAATTGTATATGGGTGGAATAATATACTCTCCTATATTCTAGCACCGGTCAATGGGTGGGAGGATTAATTTTCCAAGACATCGGGTTCAAATCCCAGCAATCACCACTAGCATTTAGCAATGCAATACCGCTATCCTATTGGCATAGCCTGGATTTAATGTGTTGAATGGTTCTGAGCTAGAGAGTAGTATCCATAAATAAGATGTAAACAATTCTTTAATAATCAACAAACGTCTTTGATTTTTTAAAGTTAATAAATTGTTTCTGCTATATTCTCTCCTAAAAACACAACAACAAAGTTTATCATTTTTATAGACAATTTCCTGTTAAGTGAGTCTAAGTGTTGTTTGGGAGGATTACTGAAAACTTCTATCTTTATCGGAAAAGTTCTCGGAGTCGTGCCTCATAGAACGAGGATTCTTTAGTTTTAGGAATTTTTAGTTTAAAACAAATTCTTTGAGAGATTCTTCTAGAAAAAAAGTATAATTCTTGTTCAATAAGTATTTTTATGTACCATTATCATATGATGTTTTGTTGTGAGTTTATTAAAAATACCTGGAAACCATTTCACTGAAAAAGAACAAGACATTTTGTTTGTGGTAGTATAATTTTTTCGTTTATTCAATTTACTTATACTGCATAGTTTCAATAATAAACTGGGCATATTGCAAACATTTTTTTCAAAGGAAAATTTAAATTATTACTATCATTATAAAATCATAAGAAAGTATTTAAACGAACTATCTTACATTGCACAAATTTAAAATATTGTATCGTAGCCTATGAATTAATATTTATTTACAAAATAGTCTCTTTGTTCGCACAAAGGTAAATCCATTGTATTGACTGGATTCACCCAGTCGACCTATGATTTCCACATCGGCTATACTCATAAATCAAATTGAACTGTATTGATATTTCAGGAGGGGCGTTTTTATGTTCTGCTTTAAATTTCAAAAGACGTTATCATGTTTATCATGGACGTTTGTTTATCATGACAAATCTCTTATTCTTAAAATCTTTGTTCAAATAATTTTAATAATGAGTTCAGCTACATTGGTTGTACATAGTACAGCTTATTTTTAGTAGCAAACTTTTAATCTAGCAAAGCTTTTACTTAAATGGAAAATACAAAAATAATTTCTTAAATATCAGCATGAACTTGTAAAAATAATTGTTGTATTACACTGTTACGCGTATTGTATTATAAAAACATTATTTAATACATGTATTTTAAGCTATGTAATAGAAAAATGTTAACAAATAACCCTGAGATTTAGTAGAAGAATCCTCAATTCCACTAAAAGAACGCTTTCTATCTAGCACATGTTTTATACCGTAACCTTCCATCGGACATTATCGAGGCGGAGGGTAGCAGTGTTGCTGTGTACAAACGCATGATTGGCGAGTGGCTCGCGCGTATCGGGTGGGCGGCTGCAGAGGCGCTGATACAGTCAGCTTACACAGCATAATTATTTTCCATTAACTGAAAAAGATGTTTTCGCCACGGCTGATGCAAAATTCAACCATGTTTTTGTTACCGTTTTCAGTAACTTCTAGTTTAGTAGGATCCATTTTATTATTTTTTTGAATGTATTACTATAGACTTTCGTATTTGTTTAAATCAAATTAGGGGTTTCCTTTTAATATTCAATTTATAAAGGTCTTTGTCTTTTTTAATTTCTAGTAGATGTAGGTAATAGCATCGAAAAAATGTTAAATACTTTGTATATTGCCTAACAATGGTTTACAAGAACTCTTCCCCCGATCACAGTCTATCCGGGCGAATAATTCCATGTAATATATTGTTCTATTATTGTACTGTTTAATTTTTGGAATAAAAGTATTTTGATTTGATTTGATTTGAATCAATAATGGCTATCAATTAAACGAGCTTTTGTCAAATGACCCATGGTAGAAATATACGCCTGATTGTCCCTCGGATTCTTAATTGGTTGATTCTCCGAGGTCAACAGACAATATACTTTCAATTTGTTGCTCTCAAACATAAATTTATGAGTAATATTAAAGCTTTAATTATAAACCTAATACCGCTTAACAATAGTGAAACTGAACGTCAACAATAATATTCACCCATATACATATAGAAATAAATAGACGAATGGTTTGATTGATTGAATGAACATATAGGTTTCCTAGGTGATTTGCCATTGTAAACAGTTTACATAAGATTTTGTTGCTAATCTAGGATTGAAACAAAACATCGTTACTCACATTGGGAGTTGGGTTTCCGTAAACCGTGCAGACAAGCTTTACTTGGCTTCCCTCCGCCGTGTTCACCCACCCTTGCTCCACTTCTATTTCAGGGGGATCTAAATATAAAAAGATTACTTAAAGCTAGTGAATTAATGGATTGCTAAGTTAAAGTTCTTAAGTTAGAATTCATGAAAGGTACGTACTACCTTTGACTCTACGAATGGCAACGAAAGCAATCTTGTGATTGCATTACATCTAAGATACTATCATAGGCCACTATGTAATATATTGTAAAACGTAAATGTGATCGGATGTAAAATCAACCGTTACTTATGCCACAAAAATGTATTAGGTTCTTCCTAACATCGGCTATTTTTGAAAGCTATTACATAACAGAAGCAATTTTTATTTCCATGGGCGTATGTTTGTAACCCAAAAGTACAGTAAAAAAAGCGAAAAATTCCGGACACCTAAAAAATAGCTCAAGCAGGGAATTTGGGACAGATGTTGGGCGTACCTTTCTTTTGAACAAACTAAAAGTCCCCTAAAATTTAAGCTGTGCTATGGCCGACATATTGGAAAATGGTGGCATACTTCTGTATTTTTGGCAATAGTGACTTTATTATTAGAGATACAGGAAAAAGCTAAACATACAAACTATAGTCTTTCTACAAATACAAATTTTTTTATTTATCATTTTTCTTTAAACCCAACGTTACTTGAGTTATTTGTGACTAAGTATATTTAGTTTTTTTATTTATCAAAAATAGGCGAAACCCATGAAAATCGACGGTTACTTTCAAGGTTTACGACAATTCATCCCATTTAGTTAAATAGTGCGATACTATAAAATCTTAAAATTTAACTTTATTTAATTAGTAAAACACCTCCGCCACAGCTAACCTGGATTTCCATTTGACTGATTGGATGTTTTATAAAATGTATATAAATTAAATTAGGTGTAACAAGTGCCTAGGTTTGCTGTTACGGGGAGGGTTTTATAGTGTGCTTTTTTTTAGTAAAATATCAATAGCTTGGAATAAAATTTGAGCAAAATAAATCTGTAAACAAGCAATCTTCAACAGTTTACTTATTCAGAAGAATAGCGTGGGAGTTTTGAATTTACAATTTACAGATTTAAATTTACGAATTGTGGTTGTGGTTGCTAAAAAGATAGCGATTCTTCGTCACGATTCGAATACTAACAGAAGGGGTTTTCAAAAGGAGATGGAGCAAGTTGTTATTGAAGTAATATTAACTCGTACAAAGTACCGGAAATATTGTATGCAGTGAGGTAATCAACCGTATTTTGTATATTTCATCTCATTTTGTACCCATTTAATAAAGTAACATTTTAATACTTTGTTGGCAACACCACACTAACAGAAGTAGACTTGACATCCCATTTTAAATTTGCAAGGTTGTTTTTCGTGTCTAGTTCATGTTGGTGACACTGAACACAAGTGAAGGAGACATTTTGTTTATATTATTTTGGGATAATTTTGGGATTTGTACTTTACTTACTGATTGGTTATAGAACTAGAGTAAGAGTTATTAGATTGTTTTATTTGGTCGAACGAGGTTTACAATGACTGCAAAATCTAGAAACAATTTGTAACCAAAACACGAACTCTACAGTCCACCGTACGGAACTAACAACAAAATACTTTGGTTGATCCATAAGGATAAAAAATCTATGGGAAAATGTTTTATCAATGATATCACTATGTTTAGCTGAGTGGGATGAATAATTGTCGTAAATCTTGAAAGTAACCGTCGATTTCGATGGGTTTCATCGATTTTTGATCAATAAACAAACTAACTATACTCAAACTCAAAAACTATTGGGTGTTGGGTTAAGAGAAAATTATAAATACAAAGATATGTGTATTTCTAGATGGACTATATTTTTTATATTTAGCCTTTTTCCTGTATTATTAATAATAAAGTCGCTATAGCCAAAAATACTGAAATATGCCGCCATTTTCCAATATGGTGGCCATAGCACGGCTTCAATATTAAGGGACCTTTAGTATGTTCAAAAGGAAGGTTGACCCAACATCTGTTTTAGGGTAAAAGCATATTTTTATTGTACTTGTTATCGAAGTTTTAGAATCTAGAGAATACATACGTAACACATCTAGCCGTACGTCCAGAACTGCAGGTGGTCCCACACCATTGGTCGCTGTACACTGATACACTCCTGCGTGGTGACGATCTACCCTGTCTAGTGTTACCGTAGACCCAGGTTTGTAGAGATGGCCACTGTCCTAGCAAAGCATCATACGGTTATGTTGTATGGTTGTGTTATCATTCATACGTAAATACAATTTTGTTTTATTTTTACGTTGAAAATAAAGGTTTCACAAGTCATTAAAGGAAACTGACGAGACCCGAATATGAAAAGTATTAACCTGAACAACGTTTGGTCCCTTTGTGATTAGAGCGTTAATAATTCGTTTCAATTGTTATATGTATGCATAAAACATCAAATATATAAACGTTCGTAAACTCGATAACTTAAGTAATTTTGTCAGATTTCGATGTAGTTTGCCTTAAAGACGGGTGGGATAAACTTGAATGAATTTGCGTACCAGCATGATCGGGCTATGTGAATTGGGTTTTACGGGACGGTTATATGGGGCAAAAATTATAGTTCATTCATATCGTTCATTGACATCTGAGAGAGATGGTTTTCATCGTACTTGACCGGGCGTACACAATGTACAAAGGTTAATGGACAGCTCTCGTTTGTCGGTGTTCCTCTAGGCAGTTGCTTGGGGCCGATTTTATTCCTTATATACAATGCAGATTTGAAAGATAATTTGAGTTACTGTTCTTTACACTCTTGTACGTATGATTCCCAACTGCTAATTTCTTATAAGCCCTCAGAAACAGGTAAGACTATTCGTTATATCAACAATGATTTAGAGAGTGTAAATAGATGGTCGGATGACCATGGTTTGCTATTGAACTCCAGTAAGTGTTCTGTCTTGATTGGAGATAGGTGATATTCGAGTACCCACTCAGAATAATAGTTGTGTTGAACAGTGTATCTTTGTTGATGGCAAACCACTGATTTCCAGTAATATTCTTAACATTCTCGGTGTCACTCTCGATTCCCAACTTGATTTTTCTCACCATGTCAAAGCTATTATGTAAAACAGTAACAATACGTTTGAAAACTCTTCGCAAACTAAGCTCAATTTTGCCAGAACTTTCTAAGCTGGAAATCGTCCGTTCAACCATTATCCTGTTAATACTATGCTATTTCTGCTTTTTCCTGTTGCCTTGCTCGGGAAATTTTGATGATCCTTACCCGGCTGCAAAACAGAGTGCTTATAGTCCAGGCGCTAAACGGGTTGAGTATGCACTGAAAGTCTGACAAAATTTGACTTTTGATTATTGTTGGGGACATCTAGTAGATGAAAAAAATCGATGATGTCGCATTTCTAGGGTGGTCACAACTCGGGGGGGAGGGGGGGAAGTTGCGCGGGTCATCGGTTTACGTTTCCGCGTCTAACTCACAAACGGTTAATGATAGAAAGGTGAATTAAGCGTCTATCTACGCCTAAATATATTGTCTTTTAAAAAGGTTATTACGACCTTTCTTCTATCTCTTATACTTTAGGCGCTAATCAACATGTATTGCAAAAAATAAAATTTAAAAATACTTAAAAATGAAATATCGGAAATATTGCGCTTGTTTAGGGCATGTTACAAACTATTTATGGTTAGAAAAACTAACAAGTAGTACAACAACACCAAGTTTAAAGAAATCCATGCAAAAACAACAGAGCTACGTTGATTTCAGTAAGAGTAAACGTGGAAAATTCGTAGTAGTACCGAAGCGCGCATGGACGGTACGTAGCCCACAGTCGATAGGTTTGATGTAAGTAACTATGGGAAAGCTGAATTTTTCTATGCTGTTAGACCATGTTGAGATGAGCATTTTCCCAAAAGTCCCCACTCCTACCCCTTTGTGCTTTCTTTTACCCCCCCCCTTTTAGATAAATTTACAGTCTCTTAAACATTAAGCTATAACTTTAAAACGGGTAAGGATAATAACGCAATCTTTTATAAATCATTTTGCGTTACGATATTCTACAAAAAATGTTTACCATGGTATCCTAAATATTCATAGTTAAAAAATATCATAAACATAAAAAAAAATATTTTTTACAGATTAATTTATGAAACTTTTCTTTGTAGATTTTTTATACGAGGTCGCACAACAAAATGTTTGATACAAAATTTGGGGTGCATAGTTTACATTTTAAAATGATACATAGTTATTAACAGTTTGTTTGCATATAGTAGTTATAGATAGTACAGTATATTGATTTTACAGGACTCAGGCTTTTTTGTGCACCGCAACAATGAAAAAAATTACGTATATTATGGTTTTTGTATTTGAATCTGCCGCTTTATATAGATTATATTAACGTTATGTAGCTCATTCAGTACATATACAGACTGTAGTGGATACATATGAATGAATATCGTGCATTTGCTGCTGTACGCTAGAGCCTCATTTTATTATACAGGGTGTCTCACCTAAAGTGAACCAATAGATAACTTTTTTATTATGGGATATAGAGTTAACTTCTTATGGGACACTACCCTTTATTTTAAGATGTTTTTTTTGTGGTTTCGAATTTTAAAAATATGTTCGCCATTTTCCAATATGGATGACAACTTTGTTAGTCCTATGGAATACCCTTTATTTTATGATTGTTTTAGAATGTAAACGCACAGCTTTTAAACCTTTTTATTCTTGACATTTTTCTCTAAAGCTACTTGTTTAGGAGTTACATCGAAACAGAAATGGTTTGTGAGTACATCCTGCATCCTCACAGCTCATTAACGTAAGTTTAAGAGCGGAAATACAAAGAATAAACAAGTTTTCAAATCACATCTACATAAAAAAAAAAACATAAAATAAATTGTTCCAATATCAAAGTAAGCTAGCATTTTTGAAAATGGTGGCCATTTTTAAAACAACAAAATCAGTATTTTTTAACGTATTTTATATATTTTTTTGAACGAGGACTTATATGTGACTTATTTATTCTTTGCACTTTCTCTCTCAACTTACTCGTTTATGAGCTACAGATGCCGAATGTACACCACAAGCCTTTCTTTGAGATATAACACGCTGTAACTCCTAAATGGGGCAGGTTTAGAGAAAAAATGTCACAAATAAGAAAATAGCTTTTAAATTGTAAAAGAATACTAAAATACAGCGTATTCCATAAGAAATAACAAAGTTGTTGGCCATATTGGAAAATTGTGTATATATATTTTTTATTCGTAACCATCCCTAAAAACATTTTTTACAATTAAAAGGGGTCGTCTAATAAAAAGTTAACTCTATATGGAAAATAAAATTTGTATATGTTCACTATGTAATCTCAACCGGGATGAAACGTGTACCCTTTTATAGCAGAATCTCCAATTTAAAAAAAGATACGTCAATTTTGGTCTAACAAGTTATATTTAAATGAATATGAGTTTTTTTGAATTTTTAAATGGCAAAGATTGGCGTGCACTTGGAAATTATCTTAAAGAGGCGTGGAGTAAAGGGTGGGAATTGATAATGGAGTATAATTATTAAATTTAAGAATTGAGATATCGATACAAAAATTGGAAAAATCTATGTAATTTAAAAAATTTTTAAAATATTGTTTGTGAAGTATCCATCAAAGTAAATTATAAAAGTAACAGGTTTGTTTTATGAATTATTAACTGTTTGTAGGAAAAATTCAGATTCTCAGTAGGCTACATTTAAATTGTATTATTCATTCAATTGATATCTGATCTATTAGTATGTAGTGCTATTTGTGTATGTTCTGTAGTGGAAATCAGTTTATTTTATGAATAATTGTATGTGATTTATGGAATTTTTTAAAACTGTTTTAAAATATTTTAAAATCAGTGTGTCTAACACAAAACAGACGGTCTTTGACCATTGTTATTTGCATTTAAATAAAAAACACTGTATTTATATTTTATTACAATTAACACATTTTCTTCTTCTTCATCATCTATCTTCTTCATCATTTATTCATCTAATAATTCTTTTCGTAGATTATCGTAACGCAAAATGATTAATAAAATGTTGCATTATTATCCTTACCCGTTTTAAAGTTATAGCTTAATTGCTAAGAGGCTGTAAATTTATCTAAAAAGGGGGTTAGAGGAAAGCACAAGGGGGGAGGAGTGTTGACTTTCGGGAAAATGATAATCGCAACATGGTCTAACAGCATAGAAAAATTCAGCTTTCCCATAGTTACTTACAACATCAAACCTATATTGACTGTGGGCTACGTGTACCATCCATGCGCGCCTCGATACTACTACGAATTTTCCACGTTTACTTTTACTGAAATCAACGTAGCTCTGTTGTTTTTGCATGGATTTCTTTAAACTTGGTGTTGTTGTACTACTTGTTAGTTTTTCTAACCATAAATAGTTTGTAACATGCCCTAAACAAGCGCAATATTTCCGATATTTCATTTTTAAGCATTTTTAAATTTTATTTTTTGCAATAAATGTTGATTAGCGCCTAAAGTATAAGAGATAGAAGAAAGGTTGTAATAACCTTTTTAAAAGACAATATATTTAGGCGTAGATAGACACTTAATTCACCTTTCTATCATTAACCGTTTGTGAGTTAGACGCGGAAACGTAAACCGATGACCCGCGCAACTTCCCCCCCTCCCCCCCGAGTTGTGACCACCCTAGAAATGCGACATCATCGATTTTTTTCATCTACTAGATGTCCCCAACAATAATCAAAAGTCAAATTTTGTCAGACTTTCAGTGCATACTCAACCCGTTTAGCGCCTGGACTATTAGACTTGTCTACAATCTGAAAAAATTTGATCACACTAGCGAGTACAAATTGAGTGCCAAGGTGTTGTCAATCATGGGGTACTCCGACATACAAACTGTAAATCTGGTCCAACAAGTTCTTCAGACGGGAAAATCTGAGTACCTTAGGTTGGTGTTTATGCATGAAGTCAATGAGTACAGTACTCGACAGAACTGCCTGTTGCACTTGCCAAAGACAAAACTGGAAACGGGGAAGAAGGGGTTTAGTTACTTTGGCCCAAAAAAGTATAATGCTTTGCCACCCACTTTAAAAGAGTACAGTTATACTAGGTTTAAGAAATATTTACCTAAACTGTATAGATACTTTTACTTTTGATTTTATGTACAGATTATTGTATGGTTTTATTTACTTAGTTTGACAAAAGTTGTCATGAAAAACAGAGTTTGTACTTTGATGAACGCTTGCAAATAAAGACCTTATTTATTTATTTGTATTACAAAATACAAATCCCTTAACATTAACTTATAGAAATATGGTCATGGTATGTAGTATGTTTTATAGTTATGAATTTAAGATTCATTAAGTCGAGTTAAAGTTTAACTCTGCAGGTAAATTGCATAATGAAATTAGTTCTCACCTCGCGTTTAAGCAAACATTAAATATGTATGACATAAGAGCTTACTCAGCTCTGAGAAAAGCGCGGCTTAAATCCTCCTTCACCAGAGATACCAACTTTCCTGAGGTGCGAACTAGGAGACCATTTCCATCTTTTAATTTACAAAAGTCGAATTAATGTAGAAAAAAAGCATAACAAATAGTTTCTGTTGAATTTGTATGAGTATATGGAATGTCTATTTGTATTAATAGTCAAAGGTATAACCTAACACAAAATCAAGACAGCGAGTGGTTAAACCATTCTATACTAAATGAATTTTTGAAAATTTACGAGTCTTTTAATAATTTATTTAGTTTATGTTACCAATTTATAATTCTAAAACATCCTAACCTGAGGGATCAATAACATGCCCCACTTGAATTTACATGATTTACTCCAACCAACCAAAATTGATCCGAAATCAGTTTGACAAATACTACTTCCATCCAAGTAGTTGCACGCCAAGTGTATTTCAAGTGTTCATTTGGGGGGATTTAGGTTAATACAGATGAAATAGTATCGCATGGACACATTGAGCGATAGATTTTCTTTCTGTCAGTTAGTGGACAATTTGCCAAACCTATGACTTAAGATATACATCTTTCAGGTAGGATATTCTGCGGAATAGACGAGTAAGGGCAGAAGCAGGGTTTCTGTTTTCTTACCAAAGCCTACTAACGGAGGATCTTAGAAGGGATAGTACGACACGGAACTGGAAGCCATGAAAGTTGGCAATAACATGCCACTTATTGTTTTCATTACCCTGTTAGGCTGTTCAATTAGACCAATAATCAGTCACGTAAATATCGAACACTTAATTGAATGATACTGTTGTCTTTTGCCTTTTGTTTTGATTGCTTTAACCGCCAAAATAACAGACATGATTCATAAAATTAGAAAGGATTTAAATAAATATGATTTAGATATAGTTTTAAATTTAAAGCATTCTATGTAAGCAGGTAGAGTATTTTGTCTTACTTGGAACCAGTATGAGATTTGAATCTTATCTTATTCTCTTGTCTACTTTATTCTAAATGTGTTTGTGTTTTTCTTTTTTTTAAGAAGTCAATTACAATGCGTTACCCTGAAAAAATATTTATCCCAATAATTTTCTATTTGAGCTGTTATTACAAAATATAGCACGTTCTAAGGTGTGGAGTGAATTTACTTTTCATTATCGATATCCAAATTAAATCATGTATTTTGGAAGGTTTCAGGATTGGTTTTCCAGTCTTTTGTAAAGAATAATGGAAGAAGTGAGGCATAATACAGGTTGAATGGGTCGATGTCAGGAAGTTTATAATGGGGACCTACAATCCGAGATAAAAACTCAGATCCTTGAACTCCTTTTCAGAAAGAAGTTAAAGAGAAAAGTTTATCTTTCCATAACAACAAAGTTGTCTTTGATATCGGTAATGGTATTGGGAATAATTTCCTTAAAATTCATAACGCACTTCCAGATGCATTTTACGTCATATGCTATACATACGGTCTTTTGTAGACAAGTAAACTGTAGTGATCACTATTCCAACTGTGGGAAAATAATCAAACTCTTATATCATGTTTTGTGCAATTCAATCGCATATGTTCTCATTTCTTCTGTCTTGTCTCTTTTCGACAATCACACATATGTTGATTACTTTGTCCCGAAGTTATATTGTTATTAAATATGTATGATTTGCGTGGAAATAACACTAGCTGTTACCCACGGGCTCCACCCCGTTATACTATAGAAGTATTAATAAAACTATTGATTGGTTAAGTTTTAAGCTGAAATAAACATAACAGAATACAGTAATGTTAATACAAACAAATAATAACAGCTGAGGTATTTTTAACATTAGGTAAATGGAAAGTTCCCTTAGGAAAGCAATTACGACCTTATAGGGCAATTTATGAAATAATGGATAATTTTGCGCAAGGTTTCTCATCATGACGAACATTTTAAGTATATGGTTTATGGGGGTGTGACTTGTAGTTTTCTCAAAAGTTCATGGGTACTTTTGGCTTTATATATAGATATCTTGTAAATTTTGTTTCAATATGTTATAAGGTTTGGAAAAAGCTAGATAAGATTAACGTTTCAAAATGCCATAGAAAACTTCCAAACGCACCAATTTTTATATTCCCAAAACAAATACATTTATATTCTGTATCTTTCTTTGAAAACTCATAATAACCAATCGGTTGAATTAAAATATGCTTTAATAATGAAACATTGAATAAACAGCTACTGTACTCTATTTCTTTCTTAATACTTTCTTATTAAATGGCGACCATACAAAGTAGGTATTTTAAGCCAAGCATGAATGGAGATGAGTGCTTCAATGCGAGGATTATTGTTTTGACCCGAAATGTCAGACAAAGATTCAATCCATCATTAGGCTGTTATTTAACGATGATTCATAACATAATGTCAAAATTGTAGGCCTATAAGACGATGGTTTAAACTCTTGCAAAAATGTAAAAGGTGTTGAAAAGAATAAAACAGTCTTTAAACACGTATAACAAATATAATGCAGCTGCTAATCAATACCCACAAAACAAAATGAAACCTTATAATATATAACACCCCGTGATTAGAATAACCAATTTTATGATTTTTAAGGAATTTTGCTAAGAAGTGGCTAAAAAACTTATCCGGTCCTGGGCCAAGCTGCAGAAAATACCGCACGCTTATAATCAATTAATATTTTGAACATAATACACCATAATTACATCTGTACCTTCTTAGACCAGAGCACGGTGGGCTGAGGGTTCCCTGTGGCAGAGCAGGTCAGAGTGACGGAACTGCCCTTTCTGGCTGTCAGTTGACTGTTGGCAGCAGTGGACACAATCCTGGGCGGAGCTGGAACATTCACGGAATTAGTAAGGCCTAAAGCAGTAGTTTTTTTTTCAAAGCAGTAGGATTTTCTCATGGTTAAAATTTAAATTTCTGTCTCAAGAGGAAAACCAAATGGCATTAACAATTGAGATGAACTAGGGGATTTTTTACGGTTATTTTGTCATCAAACTTCGATTTTTGATTATAGTAAGTAGTTATAAGAAACTTTTAAAATTATCTGTAGCCTTAAGTTACTCCATTCATTTATTAGCTATTCAAATCTGAAGGTAGATTTAATTATCAGTTTGTAAACAGCAAAGCTGTAGGATATATTTTAACAAAAACTCTTAATGGATTATTCTAATGCTGTAACATTACTTTTATTACTACCATTTTGCATACAAACCTTTGCGCTTACGTAAAAGCTATTAAACGTTAAATTTTTTAATCCTTCACAGCTAGTGTTGTCCTGGAGAAGAGTTGCTAAATTGACAAAGAGCTATTTGTTTTGATTGTAATCTACATCTACTATTTAATTGTTATCTACATTACCTAGCACGGAGACCTTGTGGACCTGGTCCTGTGACGAGATGTCTGCTATTTGGCATATGTACTGCCCCGCGTCCTTGGCTGTGATGTTGGCAATCCTGAGGTCGTAGTCCCGGTCCTGTAGGAGCGACAGGCGGGAGTCCCGGGCGACCATCAGCTTGGCGGCGGTCAGGATCAGGTTACCTTTGCGCCACAGCAGGACGTGCGATCCTGGGGAAAAACCACGACTATTAAATAGATAGCTCTATTACACTTTGAAGATTTTATTACAAAACCTCATTTAAGGACATTAAATTTTTATGTCGTATTACTAGGATAGTAATACAGTGATAATTTACTTGTTTAGTTCAACTGTTGCCTGTGTTCGTCTGTTGACCGGGTGGTTTGTCATTTGTTGATTATCATTTGAATATCATTTTGCTGACCTAAAATTCATTATTTGATCATTACACCCCAATGTAATGAATTTGGATTTATAATGCAAATACGTTGCAGCGTGTCTGTCTTAGCCTGTCTCAGTGTTAGTTGTAAAGCACATAGAACGGTATACAGTAGAAGGAATTGTTTAAAGTGAGAGAAGGGGAACTTTCAGTATATTTTTGTGCATGCGTATTTTTTTTAATTTTTTGAAACTTGGTAGCTGTGAATAATGGTATATAATGCTTAAACCTCGATATTGTTTTTTATGAATGAAGCAAGTGTGACGTGCACTTTAAGCTTGAAACTAAAACTGCATTGAATAGCCTCTTTTTTACAAACATAGATCAGACAAAAACCAAGCTTACAACACTTGGAGCAGCACATGGCATGATGTGGAGCATAATTTGTGCTCTGAAGCAGCATTTTTTTTAATTGTTTCTTAAATACATGCTGTAAAGTGAGATATAATTTATTAGTATTGCTTTTGTAAGTTAAGAGCGGCAATGATTGTGCTCGTAATAAGACTTTTCCTACGACCATCATTAACTTATCACAACACACAGATTAACTTTTTGTTGTATATAAAACATCACTTGGGATATTTTTTATCTCTAAAAAGGTGATCGAGTTTTGTGTAGTTTAATAACTAGAATGAATCAATCACTTTCATAGATGCATTACCGGATGTGTTTTATAGAAACGCTCACAGTGAATTCAGCTGATTTAGCGAGGAGGAAGGAAAAAAGGTGGAAAAGAACTATTTTTCGCGCTGTTTACAGGTGTGGCAATGTGATCATTTCCGTGCAGTGGTGAGAAAGATATTTAGTAAAACTTTAAACCTTAACAATCTTAACAGTAATTTGTTAGAGACATAATACTTTCAATCAACACATTTAAAAATCATTAGGTAGTTTGTTTGCATACAATATTTAACTGTATAGATGTTCTGTGTGACACTTAAACCATACTGCCATTACTCAAACGAATAGTTAATCTAAGTCTCATGTAAGTAAGCCGTATATAACGATATAACCAGTAAGACGGAAGATTTTAAGCAAGTAAGCCGTTAAAGTATCGCATAAACTTAGTTAACTGCGACGATGCGACGAAGTGTTTACTGATGCTCCAGTAAAGTTGAGTGTAGAGAGCTCGGATCGTGTTTATTCTGTTGCTGTTATATGATACTCCCGCTCCATGTTAGGCTTTATTATTGGCGTGTAAAATATAGCAGCATTTGCTACATAATGCTTATCATGTGTTGTAGAGCTTAATACGAGATACTTCATCATCAAGTATGTTTAACTAACCAACCCGGCAACAGTTCACTCTGGCTTAGTTGTGCAATTAACTCTTGAAAGTATTTCTCGTGCTCTGGTTCAGCTGTAAAACCAATAATTGTTACGGAAAATAGCCAAATCATTATGACTTTATCATTGATATAATATATAACTTTGTGAAAAGTTACATTTTGAATTGTTATTGAGATTAGCTATAACTAACATATTTTTCATTTGGAAATATAGACTGTATAATTTAGTACAGACGTGTTTTCATAGCTTAACATTTTTATTTCGTTTTTACACCTTTATATAATTAATTATTCAACTGCTATTCATCAATAGGATTACGTGTTTTAAGCTTAATTTACAATGTTTTATAGGACACCAAATAATATAAATTGTTCCGAGGTCAAACAAGTTATTATTATCATTATTATTTAATAATAATTAATGTAACGTAAACGTAATAATTTACGTATTATGCCTGTCTCACAGTCATCTGCTATCATGAGTACTGGATTGTCATATTGTGCCTTAAAAGAATTTTAGATCAATCCTTTTCCTTTCAGAAGGGTCAGCTTCAACCAAAAACAAACTAATCAACTTATGATTCCACTCCAGTCGCTAAACATGTACTATTATATGTTCAGTCGTTTCATCTACTTGCAAATACAAACATCAAAATGGTTTAACTGTATGAATAAAATTTTATTTTTTAATAATCCTGTCGAGATTTAGTTTGTAACTCACCGAGATTTTCCACCGAGCAGGGTAGAAGCAACGTGTCGCCCTCTAATGCCTCATATTCTTGTCCTTTAGAGGCAAACCTTGGAGGCTCTGTTCCCACACTCTGCAGCCCTGCAATGGTAGTGTGAATTAGTGAAAAGATCGTTGGAATCTATTTAAGGGTACTTGTAAACTGATTTAGTAGATAAAAACAATAAATCAAACTCAATTCATTGTTCTAATAATAATTGTGTGTCACAATATGAACCCTCGAGGTTGGGTTTCAATTTTTAAATGTCCATTTTACTTTACCCCATTTCATTACTGAGATGATCGTTTACTTACTACTCATTTTATTACTGAGATAATAATTTTACTTTGCCGCATTTCATTACTGAGCTGTTCTTTTAAAACAGCTGGTAGGAAATAGACCCAACTTTTTTGGTATATTTTCCTTAGTATGTACTATTTTAAATTTATGTTTTTGTTGAATAAAAGACATTTTTTATATAATAAAAATGGTAAAAAATGTCAATAAGAAAACATGTAAAAAGGGCAAAGGTTTATTCCTAAAGCCTTACAGGGGTCGAGGGTTATTGAATACTCTTATAAATAACCTTCCATTCCCAATTCACATACCATCATATCAGTACTGTGGACCTGGAACGAATATACGTGGGAATCTAGCCAAAAATGTACCTCCAAAAAATAAACTAGACTCTTATTGTAAAGAGCATGACATATTCTACATGAATAATCCCGATACCGCTGCTCGGAACAAAGCAGACATGAGATTAGCAGACTTAGCTTGGACTAGAGTTACGGCCAAGGACGCAAGTCTTGCTGAAAAAGCTGCTGCTTATGCCGTGACAAATTTGATGAAGGCAAAAGCAAAAATGGGAATGGGATTAAAATGTAATAAAAAAGATGGACAACTACCAGCAGTTAGAGGCCGCAAAAGACGTGCCTCACTTCAGGGGAGTGTACCTAAAAAGCGAGCTAAAAAATCTAACACCAAGAGTAAAAGAGTGCGGAATAGTTAATTTAGATAGCTCATCTGGCACACATTGGACAGCATATCGTAAAAATAAAGATATTGTAATTTATTTTGACCCATTTGGAATCCAACCTCCAAAAGAAGTAATTAAATATTTTGAGGGATATAAAATCTACTATACAACTGATCAAATACAAGATTTAAATAGTTCAATTTGTGGAATTTTATGTTTATCATTCATAAAAAATATTTCTTTATAAAAATGGATTCATTTACTATAACATTTTCGGGTATAGAGCCAGAGCTAAAGTCAGTGTTCTTTCCTCCCATAGAATTAAATGATGATTATGTAATTGGATTAGTAGGTTTTCAAAGTTATAATTCTATATTTAATGTAAAAAAACCTCTAAATACTTTAACATATTACAAAGTAGAGAAAAAAACATTACCAAAGGGAGAGATCTTAGTTGAGGATTTAAACCAGTTATTAGATGGTAAACTTAAAGTTATAATACATAAAAATGGAGAAGCATTAATTAATACTAAATCTAAACTTTTATTCAAAGGGCTTATTCCAAAATTAAATCAACTTAAAGGCAACAAATTAACAATTGGAGAAGGTGATGATGTTTTCTATTATGACCACAAAGTTCCAGTTACAATAGAAATTTCTGAAGGAACATATGAGGTGGTTGAGCTTGCAAAGGAAATTCAAAAGCAAATCCCAGACTTTTTCCTTACAGCTAATAATAAAACTATGAAAGCGACATTACTTTCTAGCCACGTGTTTGATTTTACAAAACCATGTTTAGGGTCTGTTTTTTTGGGATTTAAAGGTATTTCTACTCCTGGTGTTCAGTTTGAATCTACAAATAAAATAAACATTAATAATGTAAATGTGATTAGAGTAAAATGTAATATTGCAAACGGGTCCTATTTAAACGGCAACAAATCACACACCATACATAGCTTTTATCCAGAAGCTCCTCCTGGCTACAAAATTATTGAAGTTCCAAGAAATATTATATATTTTCCTGTAAATAAGAGAAGTTTAGATGTTGTCAGTATTACATTTGCCGATCAACACGACAAGGCAATTGACTTTAACGGAGAAGAAACTACAATTACTTGTCATATAAAAAAGATATGAGAATTTATAACAATTTATCTATAAGTGTACAAAATGCTAGGTTCCTAAAATCAATAGGACTAAAGTTAAAATTTTATATTAATAAAAATGGAAGATTTTCTAGACGTTACAGGGAAATCCCAATTCGACGATAGTGTGGTTAAAATTACAAATCACTCCTATGTTCCCCACAACACTTTAGCAATAAATAATTCTGATGAAATTCGAATATGTATTAATAATCAAGATTTGCTAACTCTCCCATGTAGGAGTTATCTGTATATTAAGGGAGAAATTGAAAATCATGATAAAGCTCATTTTATAAATAATGCATTTGCATTCTTATTTGATGAAATTAGATACGAAGTCGCAGGTAAAGAAATAGACATTGTAAGAAACCCAGGAATTTCTAGTCTTATGAAAATATTGAGCTCTTACAATAAAACAACTAAATTGTCAAATGTAGCATTTGATTCTGACACAAATTTAAAAGAGTTCCATAAAGGTGGCAAGTTTAGTACATGTTTGCCATTAGAGCTGTTAATGGGTGTATTCGAGGATTTTAATAAGGTATTAGTAAATGTCAAACAAGAATTGGTATTGAAAAGATCCAAAAATGATTTAAATTGTATATTAACAACCACTAGTGCTCCAGCCAGTGGCACTGCTGATATGATTCCCAAAATTACACTTAACTCAATTCAATGGGTAATGCCACACGTGATACCATCAGATGGAGAGAAGTTACAATTACAAAAGATGTTATTGCAAAATAAAAATTTGCAAATTGCATTTAGAAGTTTAGAGCTGCATGAACTTCCATCATATCCCAATACCACAAGACATACATGGTCAGTAAAGACATCTTCAAGTTTAGAGAAGCCTAGGTATATTATATTTGGTTTCCAAACAGCTAGGGATAATAGTGCACGAAAAAGAACTGATGAATTTGATCACTGTAAATTAAAAAATCTCAAAGTATTTCTAAACTCTGAATATTATCCTTATAGTGATTTAAATCTCGACTTTGAAAATGGAGATGTCTCTAAAGCTTATGAGATGTTTATGAGGTTTAGAGAGACTTACTATAATACTATCCCAGATCCTATGATTAGTAGGGCTGAGTTTATGAAGAAATATCCACTAATTATAATAGACTGTTCTAGACAGAACGAAACTGTGAAGGAAGGAATTGTTGATATTAAATTAGAGATTGAAACTGCAGACAATGTGCCAGCAAATACATCTGCATATTGTTTGATAATACATGATAAAGTGTTTGAGTACAATCCTTTGTCAAATGAGATAAATAAAATGTAAATAAAAGATGAAAAACATTCAACAAGAATTGGTTGACTCTGCAAATCAAATACGAGAGAAATATAGAGCTTTAAAACGTGGCAAGTTTCTAGAGGCTGAAGAGAGGTTCCAAACATTCCAACCTTTAATAGAGCCATTACAAGAATTAAAGAAAATCACATCAGAGAGTCCTCGAATTAGTGTGGTGGCTTAGCAAAATGTACGTGACCTGATGGATTAAAGCTGCAGCTTTTGCACATTTCTTCCATACCCTAAATACAAACAATTTATGGGGGGGTGCCCGATTTTTAGGTCCGCCATCTTGAAATACGACGCCATCTTTGTTTTCTTTAGAGGAATTGAACTATTCTTTGAAAATGGCCTAAAATCACCCAAAAGGACACATTTACGCCATTTTGTATATAACATGTTTTGTTCACAATTAAATTTTCTATAAAATGAGATAAAAACCACTTCGATAACTTAAATAGTCTTGAAGATATAAACTGTTAAAGTTGAAAATTTGATATATTCCTCTACGATGCATGTAGTTTTTGCTATATATCACCCAAACGGTCAACGGTACGTATCTGTTATTATTATATATTTTATTTGTAATTAAATTTGCTACAAAATGAGATAAAAATCTCTAAATTAACTTAAATAGTTCGGAAGATATAAACCGTTAAAGTTATAAGCTTCTTTAATTTCTGTATGCAATAGGTCCGTGTTTCTTAAAAGTCCCCGCGCTTTGTTTTTTCTGCACGTATTGCGTCAGAAGACTGAAGATTCACACATCAATACTGGAACTAAAATAGTACTTTTTAAAGTACTTTTTGACTTTTTTCGCCCAAGGGGGGTCGGCCCACAAGGAGTAAGTTGAAAATCTTAAATAAAAGCATAGGCCATGATGCATATCAAATTAAAGAGATTTACCTGTAGAACGCGTTACCACAAACTGCACTTTAAAAGGACAAGTGGGTCAAAAGTTATACAATTTTATAGTTTTGCTTATTTATTTATTAATTAACACCATATATCATCTCATTGCATAACATATAAGATACGTAATGGAACTTAACAACAAGGATCATACATAACAAACAATAGTATTAACAAGCAAAACAATGATCAACAAGAATAAATGTATAACAAACTTATCAAGAATTGAATCAAAAAGATGTCAATATATCTGGAATTCCATAAATTGATCGGTTTAAAGTGATAATATTTAAAAATTCTATCAACATGCATCAACATTTTAATAAATATGAAAGCAAACAAGAAATGCAATAACAAACTGGATCATAGTACCACTCTACTGTATTATGGACCACCAAGGATTATGAGAAACAAGCAAGCAGCTATTTCCTAAAAGTAATAAAACTTGAGGAGAAAAATTCGAGATTTTTAGGAATACTGTTTCCCAAACGATGTAGTCTTGGTAGCGTGCTGTTGTAGGCATATGCTGTAGAATGATATCCCCTTTCAAATAGGTCCTGAGATCAAGATGGTCTGGAGCAGCGAAAATTTACCCTGCTCAGCAGCTCAGGAGAGTCAAGTTCTGCAATGAGATTCTTCCTCAGGAAAACCAGGTCAGTAATACGCCTTCGAGAACTCAAGTGGTTTAGCCGAAGATGCTGTCGAAGATCCTCAAATGGGTACAACCTTGAATGGGTATCCCAGACGAAGTCCTACGATTCTAAAACAAGAGCTGCACTCTTTCGATGTCCTGTGAACGACCAACTGTATAAATTGGGACCATACAGGAGAACAATATTCCAACAAGGAGAGCACAGCCCACACAGAGAACCCATTTCTGGATAATCTCAGAGTGAAGCCAAGGGCTGAGTTTGCTTTCCATGTTAACCTGTTATCTTGACCATCAGGGTTGAGATATGATGTAAATGATACTCCAAGGTCGTTGACCGAGGTGGATCTAACAAGTGCATTCCCAATTAATTATTGAATAGTTAAAAAGAGAGGTTGTTGAGGTCCTGTTGAATGAAACTATCATCCACTTGAATTCATTCAAAAGCATTCCATTTTGCATAAACCACATTGAAATTCCATTGATGTCCTGCTGGAGGCATTTCGATTCTGAGAAAACTTTTTACATGATTTGCGTTTGGGCAGAGATAAAATTGTTCGCACAGCCCATTTTTGGAATTTAAATAGAAATTTATTTTTTTTTATTTCATAGTCCCATATAGGTATAGCATACGCTATAGGAATAGGCTATATCATACGCTAAATGAGGATATATTAGTCCGTAATATACGGATATTAGAACTTCGAAGGTAGATGTGTTCTTTAAACTACGAAGAACAAAAATTCCAGAACTGACTTTTGTTGAAACCTGCTTAATGTGATCTGAGAAATCAAAATGTTTATATAGTGTCAGTCCCATAAACGTAACACTGTTAGTTGGATGAACTGTTGTGTCATCCAGAAGTAGGCTGAATCCATTGGAGAGTCTCTTTGAAATAGAAAAGTGCAAAAGTTGGGTTTTTTCGGCCTTGACGGAGAGAAAGTTGGAATCAAACCACTCGATTAAGCTACTTGCTTCCCGATAGGTAGTGAGCTCCAAGCGTTGGTTTGGCGGTTGATATGCAAGATGGAAGGGTGTTAATGAAGAGCAGGAATAGGGTAGGTCCTAAAACAGAGCCCTGAGGCACCTCTCTCAAAATGGAGGTCTTATCAGAGGAATAGGGGCGAATGAACCCGGTTATCAAGAATCTTTGACAACGTTAGCCATATATTGATGAATATTGAATATAAAATTGGTCCCAGTAGAGATAGATCCTTGAGGTACACCAGAAGAAGCTTCAATCTTACAAGACTTCGCTCCAGCAAATTTCATTGTTAAAAAGTGATTCCACAAATAGTCCTCTAATCATACGAGTATGATTCAGTGATCCCCAACCCACCAAGGTTTGCCACGAGATAAGTGTGACTTACACGGTCGAAAGCCTTGGATAGGTCCAAATAGACAGAATCCTCCTTATGGTTACGAAAAAAGGCTTGCATTATGTCATCCTGGTACGGAACCAAATTGGTCAAGGTAGATCGCCCTTTATTGAAGCCATGTTGATAGGACACGATGACATTGTTAAAAAAAAGAGAGTCCATGAAGTAGAATTGCTGGAAATATATTAGCCAATGTAGGTTGTACCACCACTAGACGATAACTTTTGACGGATGGGTCACCTTCCTTGAAAATTGGTAGCACATTACCATTTTTAAGACCCCGAGGGAACTTTCCAAGCTTCATCAAGATGAGATGAAATGGTGTTGACCATTAATAAATAAATAAGCAAAACTATAAAATTGTATAACTTTTGACCCACTTGTCCTTTTAAAGTGCAGTTTGTGGTAACGCGTTCTACAGGTAAATCTCTTTAATTTGATATGCATCATGGCCTATGCTTTTATTTAAGATTTTCAACTTACTCCTTGTGGGCCGACCCCCCTTGGGCGAAAAAAGTCAAGAAGTACTTTAAAAAGTACTATTTTAGGTCCAGTATTGATGTGTGAATCTTCAGTCTTCTGACGCAATACGTGCAGAAAAAACAAAGCGCGGGGACTTTTAAGAAACACGGACCTATTGCATACAGAAATTAAAGAAGCTTATAACTTTAACGGTTTATATCTTCCGAACTATTTAAGTTAATTTAGAGATTTTTATCTCATTTTGTAGCAAATTTAATTACAAATAAAATATATAATAATAACAGATACGTACCGTTGACCGTTTGGGTGATATATAGCAAAAACTACATGTATCGTAGAGGAATATATCAAATTTTCAACTTTAACAGTTTATATCTTCAAGACTATTTAAGTTATCGAAGTGGTTTTTATCTCATTTTATAGAAAATTTAATTGTGAACAAAACATGTTATATACAAAATGGCGTAAATGTGTCCTTTTGGGTGATTTTAGGCCATTTTCAAAGAATAGTTCAATTCCTCTAAAGAAAACAAAGATGGCGTCGTATTTCAAGATGGCGGACCTAAAAATCGGGCACCCCCCCATAAATTGTTTGTATTTAGGGTATGGAAGAAATGTGCAAAAGCTGCAGCTTTAATCCATCAGGTCACGATCCTTGCCGATATTGTCTCTAAGCCACCACACAAAATGGAGATACTCCCAATGACTCCATCTAGAATATCAATGATACCAAGATTACAACCAATACAGCAATCCACTCCACAGAAATTAGATTTTGGTCTTTTAGCATCAGACTATTTAGGAAATTACCTCAGTAAAAGTAGTATGACAGACACTACATATGGTATTAGACGAGAAGCAAATAAATTTTTTATTGGAAATAAGGAAGTTGATATTGCCAATGATGATGTTACAGTAGCAAATAAAACCTACAAGGGGACAAAAGGCTTGTGGCAGTTGTTAACTTTAAAAGAACCTGAGGATTATACTCAGGCTGATTTACAAAATTATAAAGAGATTTTGGAAGCTACAAATGGACATTTAAAGAGTTACAAAGATGGTGCACCAATTTCAAGTAATAGACATACTAAATATCTTAATATAATAAAACCTCTATTTAAATCTGTTGGTGAAGGTTTGAGACAAGTGACTGGTAATAAAATAGACTATATTTATTGGGATGATCCTGATGAGCTTGTAGATAGGTTAAGACTTCTTTGGCTAAGTCGCCAAGCCGGTAACTCAGGAGTGGATAATGAAATAGATTCCATTATTGAAGAATTGAGAGAAAGTGGAATTATTTATTAAATAAAAATATGTTTATAGATAAATTTTATCGTTTATATAATCCATATAATAAGCCTGCAGAACCCAGGGCTAGTAGTGAACCTACTTTAAATTTACAAGACGATAGTTGGAATTGTTTAAACCGTAAAATTGGTAATGTTAAAGATGGAGAGTTTGTAGATGATGTATCAACTTTGGGACAGACATTAACTAGAAAAGTGTGGTGTATTAATTTAATTATAAAATGAATTATATATTTCTAATTCAGATTCAAATATTACAAGTATTAAATTTGCTAGCTCGATCCATGTACCGTTAGATATCGTACGATGTGACGTCATATGGCCTGATCGAATAAACTAACCCCATTGGTTGTTTCCATCACACCACCTTCCGTTCCCACTGCTACCTCGATCACCCGACACTCTCTGTACAACAGTCATTGTCCTACCTTACCGGCTCCCGCACACCAATGCGGTTTTTCTTAACATAAAATGTGTTAATTATTTCGAGTACCTGATCCTCCTTCGCTCGCATCCAGGTTCGGATGCGACAATGGCGACGAGTGCGACAACCTACTGCGTGGATAAAGGAAGCGCGTTTTACAGTGCAGTGCCATTGTTTCGGTACGTTACATGCCACTAGACGGCAATTTTTACACCGCGTTCGGTAAATTAACGTTGACAGAAGAAGAAGTTACTACAATGAGTGTCATCGGAAATTTCGGGCCGTTCGACAGTTCGGAGGAGACGTGGTCTACATACGTGGAACGTTTTGAACTTTACATAAAGTGTAATGGAATTTCGGACGACAAGAAAGTAAGTGCGTTTCTAACAGTAATCGGAGTTAAATCGTACAATCTGCTGAAAGACTTAATTACGCCTGAAAAACCATCGGAGAAGTCGTTTAAGGACATTGTGAAAGTGCTACAGGATCATCTTCATCCTAAACCCTCGTTTATCACGGAGAGGTATAAATTCAGCAAGCGCGACCAACTGGAACACGAGACTATTTCGGAATACATCGTTCATTTAAAGCAATTATCAAAGCATTGCCAGTTCGAGGACAAGTTACCGGACTATCTCAGGGACCGATTAGTGAGCGGTATTCGGAATAATTCGATTAAGAAGAGACTACTGGCGGAGGACAACCTGACGTTTACCAAGGCGGAGCAGCTGGCGACATCGCTAGAGACAGCAGAGAAGGACGCAGCATCCCTGACGTACCACGGCGGCAGCGGCAGCACGGGGACAGCTATGAGGCTTCAAGAGATTCTCCTCAGCGCAACGACCTCAACGCAGCAAACAATCAAGTGCATCAAGTGCCGTTCCAAGTGTTGTGCAATCTACAGAGTGCTATTGTTGTGGAAAAAAGGGTCATTTAACGCACCAGTGCTATTTTCGCGAATACGTGTGCAATTTTTGTAGAAAAAAGGGTCATTTGGAGAAGGCATGTAAATCAAAAAAGAGGGGTAAGTCCTATCATTCTACCTCTAAAAATAGTTCAAATGCCAAGGTTAATTACTCCAAAAATATTCAGGGTAACAGATACCAACATAAACAATATTATGTGGAAGTAGATGAATCTAAAAATAACGATAAAGTTGTAAATGATGAGGTATATGACATTTCTAATATTTTTCAAGCTGACAGTGAACTGAATGTTAATGTAAATCAGGTTATGGTCAATAAAATTGAACCTATTAAAATAGATTTGCAAGTACAAGGTAAACAAATGAGATTTGAAGTAGATTCAGGTGCTTGTGTTTCTGTTGTTTCGGAACAATTTTACAATAAGCACTTAAGTGATGTAAAACTAAACCCCACAGATCTAGTTCTGAGCTCCTACACTCATGAAAAAATCAAACCTGTAGGTAAAATCAATGTTAATGTTAAGTACAAATCAGTAGAAAAATGCCTATCATTGTATGTAATAAGCAATGGTGCTAATCCTCTAATTGGTCGGGATTGGATTAAAGATCTCCAAATTGTTGTTAGTATTCCCAACAATGTAAATAGTGTAATGTCGACTTCAGATGAAGTAAAAGTAGAATCAGGTAATGAGTCTAAAGTTGTGCGAGATTTATTAAACGAATTTCCAGAGGTATTTACCACTAAGCTAGGCTGTTACAATGGAGATCCTGTTAAGTTAAAGCTCAAATCAAATGTAGTACCTAAGTATTACAAACCAAGACCTATACCTTATTCTTTAAAAGACAAAGTAGAACAGGAATTACAATGTTTAGTTGACGATGGTATCATTTCCACTGTTTCAACTAGTGATTGGGGTACACCTATTGTTCCCGTACTAAAACGTAATGGCAAAATACGCATTTGCGGTGACTTCAAAGTTACCTTAAATCCATATCTAGAAGTAGATAGACATCCTATACCTCGCATTGAAGATCTTTTTGCAATCTTACAAAAAGGAAAACAATTTTCTAAAATAGATTTATCATCAGCCTATATGCAACTTAGGTTAGACGATGAAAGTAAGAAACTTTGTACCATAAGTACACACAAGGGGTTATTTGCATATAACCGACTTTGTTACGGAATATCTTCTGCCCCAGGTATTTTTCAAAGGGTAATTGAGCAAACACTACAAGGTATCCCGGGTGTAGCTTCATTTCTTGATGATATTATTGTTACCGGAGCTGACACAGCAGAACACCTGTCGCGACTAAGAGAAGTGTGTAGTAGGCTAAAGACAACAGGGTTAACTGTTAGTAAAGATAAATGTCAATTTTTCAGTGATAGCTTAGAGTACTTAGGGTACGTAATTAGCCAAGAGGGTCTTGCCACATCCAAAGATAAAGTCAAAGCCATTGTAGAGGCACCAGTTCAAAAAGATGTTACACAGCTCAAGGGTTTTCTAGGTCTAGTTAATTACTATGCAAAGTTTGTACCAAATGTTGCTACCATTCTAACACCCTTGTATCAATTATTAAGGAAAGACGTAGTTTTTAAATGGTCTTTGTCATGTCAAAAGGCGTTTGAAGCTATAAAAGAAAGATTAGTTTCAGCTAATGTGCTAGCGCACTACAACCCAGACTTGCCAATTAAATTGTCATGTGATGCGTCACCCTACGGCATCGCAGGAGTGTTAAGCATTGTTGACAAAAATGGAATAGAGAGACCAATTTCATTCACAAGTAGAGTACTAAACTCAGCAGAAAGGAACTATTCTCAAATAGACAAAGAGGCACTAAGCATTGTTTTCTGTGTAAATAAATTCAATCAGTATTTATGGGGCAGGAAGTTCACTCTTTGTACAGACCATAAACCACTCTTAGCTATATTTGGTTCGAAAAAAGGGTTACCAGCATTTGCAGCTGGCAGACTACAACGCTACGCGTTATTTTTGTCAGGTTACGATTACGACATCAATTATGTTAAGTCACAAAATCATGGTAACGCGGACGGATTGTCTAGACTTCCGCTAAATTGTAATGTCACGGAAGAAAGTAATGTAAATATTGATTATTTAGGAACATATCTCCAATGTATATCAGAGTGCGATGTACCAATAGATTTTAATGATGTACGTAAGGAAACTCAAAAAGACAGTGAGTTAAACAGAATCCTTGGATATGTTTTGTACGGCTGGCCAATCAATTCGGACGTGAATCTAAGTGACTATGTCAAAAGGCAAGCTGAGCTAACAGTTGAACACGGAATCCTAATGTGGGGCTATAGAGTAGTCATTCCAAAATCCTTAAGAGGGGCTTTATTAAAAGAATTACATAATGGACATCTAGGAGTTGTAAAAATGAAGTCGTTAGCCAGGTCGTATTTATGGTGGCCTTCTATTGATAAGGATATTGAGGCCGTGACTAACAGTTGCTCAGCGTGTCTTGCACAGCGGGAATCTCCTGTTAAAAGTAAACTTCATGTATGGGAATTTCCTCCCAATGTTTGGCAAAGAATCCATGTCGATTTCCTTGGACCATTAAAAGGACAAATATATTTAATTGTACTAGACGCCCATAGTAAATGGATTGAGGTAGAACTTGTTAGTTCCACTTCAGCCAAACAGACCATTGACAAACTCAGGCCTATGTTTTGTAGATTTGGCTTACCAGAAATAATAGTTAGTGATAATGGTCCACCTTTTTGTTCTGAGGAATTTTCAAAATTTTTTAAACAGAATGGAATAAGACAAATCTTGACTCCACCTTACCATCCAGCTTCTAATGGCCAAGCTGAGAACGCGGTAAAATCAGTAAAGAAAAGATTAAAATGTGCAATCTTTGAAAATGAGGATGTAAATATAGCTTTAAGTAGATTTCTTATCTCTTATCGTAACACAGTCCATAGTACCACTTGTGAATCTCCCGCCAAACTTATGTTTAATCGACCATTAAGAACTAGGTTAGATTTAATCAGACCAAACATTCAGTCAACTGTTGCTCGAAAACAAGAGAAACAGATCACAAATGCAAGGGGTACTCATACTAGACAATTAGCTATAGGACAATGTGTACTAGCAAGAGACTATAGAGGGAAGGATAAGTGGGTTGAATGTACAGTTGTTAGACGACTAGGGCCAGTAACATACATTGTACAACTAGAGACAGGCTCAACTTGGAAGCGACACATAGATCAGCTGGTAGGCTTGCAATCAGGCAGCAACATCAACACGGAACATAGCAGATACTACGATCCCGTGACGTCAACATCAGCTGTTACTACTTCCTGTGTATCGTCAGCACCGGTGTCGTCACCAGCCAGACCGCCCCACCAGCACACCCAGCCTCCACAGCTGAGTTCTCCCACTACTACGCGTCACTCACCAACTACACGCCAGTCCGAGCGGCATAGTCCTATTGTTGCGAAACGCCATTCTTTACAACCCGATCAGCTGACTGCTACGTCACCTGTTACAACTAATACTAGGCGATATCCACAACGGGATAGGAATCCTCCCAAGAGAATGGATTTGTAATTGTTTGTTATGGTTTTATATTTACGCTTGTTTGCAATTCTATTGTGTTTATTTTCAGCACTGATGTTTCCATATTTTTGTGTTTATTTTCAGCACTTATGTTTCAATAGTTTTGTGTTTATTTTCAGCACCGATGTTTACAATCTTAAATGTTGTTTTTAACTCTGATGTTTTCAAATTGTGTTTTTATTTTCATTACTGATGTTTTCAATTTGTGTGTATACATTTTTCCATAAACATTTTATACAAGCTATGTTCAAAAGTAAGGGCGGAGGAAATGTGGTGTATTAATTTAATTATAAAATGAATTATATATTTCTAATTCAGATTCAAATATTACAAGTATTAAATTTGCTAGCTCGATCCATGTACCGTTAGATATCGTACGATGTGACGTCATATGGCCTGATCGAATAAACTAACCCCATTGGTTGTTTCCATCACACCACCTTCCGTTCCCACTGCTACCTCGATCACCCGACACTCTCTGTACAAC